CAAAATATAAGCAGAAAAATGAGTGAATTTAATAAACGGATCACAAATCGTATGTCAGAAGCATTGATGACAATTAATTTGGAGCCAAATTGCATGACATCTCTCATGAGGATTATGAGTGCCGCCAGAAATGGAGAGGTTTGGGCCCTTAAGTGTAAGTTATACCTTGACAACAATTTTATTACACAATAAATTACTAAATAATACACAATTTCCAAATTTTAAGTCTTTGACGCACAGCCCCGACCCCCTTCAGGAATGGTAGACATGAGTGGACCCACATTTGGTAATTACGACGAGTGTGTCAATATTGAAAGTCCCGATGAAGAAGATAAACCTAAAATCTATGGACAATACTGTGGAATGGATATCAGGGAAAATATGGATATAAGTCCCCATTCAGTGCCCCGGGAATATCTGGAAAACATTGGCCAGAAATTGCCCGAAAGCTCTGCTTTCAATTACAAAAACTTTTTCAGACAATTCTTTGAAAACTACAGGAAAGTTATCTATCGTATGACACCCAATGATCTCTCGGAAGGCATTGAGTTCATTGATAACCAGTTGTTTGATAACATTAAACTAATGAACGGACTTTGTTTGCCCACCACTTGTAAGGCTAGCGATGTGTCCGCAGCCCTCACCGAATGTAAGCTTTTGTTTTAATGTTAATGTCTGTTATACTCATGAAATCAATCTATACTTCAGTCTCGTATCCAATTACTCGACTTCCGATCATTTTAGACGACGACTGCGATTATTTGGGAAAACCTATTAAACTCAATAAATATCAAATAGTCTCAGTGTATTAACAATTTAAAGTTTGATAACTTATCTTTAAACAGATTTTTTATTTATATAGTGTGGCCATCAGTGCTGTTGTGATCACGTTTGTGTTGAGCACTGTTATTGATTGTCTACCGCCTGGATCATTTATTAAACGATTAATAAAAGGGACTTCAATTGTATTTGTAGTAAATTGTTTTGCAGCCAGAAATAGTGCCAAATCTATGTTTAGTCTTGAACAATACGGAAAATTCAAGGCATTGGACGGATACCGGGCCTGTCTTACCATTTGGGTGGTTATACTTCACACCTATGAGTTTGGGTGTATATTCCTGAACAACAAAAACTATTTTCTCAGCTCTTCTTATAAAATGATTCACGATTATAGAAATATGATTTTTCCAAATATATTACTTATGGATAACTTTATGATAATCACAGGTTTTGAATTTGTTTTATTGATTATTAGTAATTAATTAGAATAATTTGTTTGTTGAATAGGTTTTATATTGTGTAATACAATGCTATCAAAACTCGACA